TCTTGCTTTGTCCCTTGTGTATGTTGAGGCCTAGTAGTGCAGAGGCTTCTACTACACTCTCTATATCTATATCTATATATATAGATTATTGAAGTCGTGACTGGGTTGGAAAGTTAGGAAAAACTGAACACTTTCTTATATTGTAGTAAACAAATAAAAACAAATTACTTCCAATAGCTATAAAAGATATTTTATTTTGATTACATAAAAGAACTGCCAGTTGAATATCTTTTATCTGTCATGCCGTAATTGCAATTCCGACGACAAAGGTATGAAGTTGTACGAGACATTTAAGTGAAGACAAAGCCAGATTCCAAATAGACATTGTATATTTTTTCAATAGCACTGATATATGCAGCTGTACGAACATCTAATCCAAGGTTGTAGGTATTCCCAATATTCATGATGCGCTGTAATATTATAGAAGTAAATTAAAATTACTAACAAAAAAAAGCTAAATAAGGAAAGTACATTAACGACAAAAAAGAATAAAATCTATGAAACATTGAGTGAAACTAGTTGATTATGAATTCGGGGAAATAGCGACTGTAAAGGTACCTGAGGAATAAGATTAATTTCATAAAATGAAACAACGTATTTATTTTATTTTCGTCCAAATAACTAGTTTTCATTAGACCTATCGACTTCATATAAAGAGTGGGAAAGACAGATAATTACCTCTTGAAGTGATAATAGATTGGTTGTGAACTTTATATCTGATGTAATGACTAAAATATACCTAATAAATGTCATTCAATTTGATTTACTGGCAACTGACGTGTCGTGCTAAGAAAACGGAATTAAGCATAACGGATTAAGTGCAGGCCTTATAGGATCTGAAAAAATTAGTTCCTTTCATAAAGTTCAGCAGACCAGTGGGAAGCAGAGTTGATCTGAAAAATGTGGTGCATTTGCTCTATACACAACCTGGTAATAAATACGCTTAACAAGGCATTCTGACATGGAAAATAATGAGGATTAATTAAATGAAAAGTTAACCTTTTATTCAACTGAATTTTATAAGTTTTTATGAATGCTTTGATAATAATTTGTGACGAAATTGTTCGAAACGTATAACGCAAATACATCACATTTTTGACAATAACTACATCTTCTTATTGCTCTGGTAAAATTACAATGTACATCATGTTAGATCAAACAGTGATCAATTAAATATTTCAATTTTAGTATTTTGCTTTTGTGTTTTGATATGTCTTAATATCAGCGTTTATACAACTATATTAGCATATTGGTAATGAATAAAAACAGAAATTAGAAACACGTTTCGTTTTATCTCCGATACACAAATGAGGGATGTTTGAGATCTAGTGTGTGGGTGCAACTCCAAAACCAAACATGCTAGAGTTATAATCGATAACTCATAAAATAAATGTCCAAGACCCACTCGTCAGACGATATCAAAGCTACCATATTTAAATGTGATTCAATGGTGTTTAATCAAACATGTTCTAACGTGAAATATTAGCCTATTTAACGTAAAAAGTAATGAAGGTCATATATCATACCTATTTTAAAATACACCGTGGATAAAAATTAAAATCTTTTTGTCTACAAAGTCTATTTACCTCGCCTCTGTAAGGTAGAATTAACTGAAATAGCATAATTGAAGAAACGAGTGAGTGGCTTCTTTTAACAACATAAATCGCTACTAGTGACCCTTGATCCCTAACGAAGACTGAAACTGTTATATCCGAACGAAAAATAAATGAGCTGTAACTGCTAGGAATTATTTATGGACGATTATTACATATATTCTTATTGGATAACTATTAAGTAAAGAAATAATATGTAAATTTGTATTCATTTTATCATAAACTTTCATTTGACCTATCGACTACTATTATACGATTTACTATTCTCAAACTATTTCCAATCTATTAGTCTCTCACAATCATAGCCACTTTTAGCTTGATATTGTATAACTGTTATTTTATATTTTATGGTGTGGTCTGATTTGCCTGTATATAAACTACGTATGTCTGAAATATATTTTCCATATAGTGGAAGCTGAGATTGTGTTTTAGACCCAACAGGAAGGGCTAGGCGAGAAATTACTATTTTGATGACCAGTAAGGATTCGGAGTTGACGCAAGGCTACTACTGCTGATTGACGTATCATTAGTTTAGCACAGGAACAAAGTCATATAAGTTGGTATTCTGATTAACGATTTTGTCACATGATAATTGACAGAGGTAGAAGTCATAACAGAAAAAACTGACGTCTAAGTACGCTTGGTCAACTGATTTAACCACTCCTTTCGACATTTAAAGAATAAGGAGGATAGACATAGAACTATTAATTAATTATATATCAATCACCAATATATCGGTTGGTACTCATATTATGATGACATCTAAAGCGTGAAGTAATTGTTCTAAATGTAATTATCGCACTGAGTCATATTATAAAACTAAGTTGGTGTGCAAATTTACCTTAGCAGATCGCTCCATAGTATACTCTAGACCAGAGTGAACAATATCGCGCTCAGATGCCCCCTGAAATGTTAACGTAACACTAAATTAAGCCAACTAGATATTATTATTGGATTAAAAAAATAGATTCAGTAAAAATAATAATAATCGTAAGACGCAAATCGACCATTGTATTCTGTAAGTGGATTATCGTATTAAAAACAAGTGACTTGGAAAATAAAGCACGAGAATTGAAACTGGTATTATATTAACAACAATACGACCAAATATAGGGAATATCAAGAATATTAATCAAAAAGCTTTAGAAGTTACAGATCTACTTAAGTATATATATATATATATATATATATATCAATTAAAGGGCTCAATAGTTTTCGAGGCTATAGGTAACAAAATATATATTCAGTTTTGTAAATCCCAATGATTTAATAAAAACTTGATTGGTACATTAGTACCTAAAGAGAATTGTGTTAGATTTCTAGACCCGCCAAAAACACTCAACAGAACAACTAGGTGATTCGAACATAGTTTGGATGATGGAATGAAAACAGTTTAAGGATCACTGAGATCCAGCAAGCATTGATCAGTTTATTCTATGATTTAGGGGAACGAAATTCCGATATGGATTTCGAAAACTTGCTTGGTTTTTGTCAGGATGAGTTACTTGTGGTGTAGGCTTATTGAACGGCGAATATACAGCATACCAGTCTAATCAGGTATTATTATATGGGCGTGAGAGAAAAAAAAAACATATGTAGACTCTTAACTCGAAAACTACCAGTCTAGTGAGAGCTTATGACGAACTGTCATATGATTTTACAACCTCAAGTGGTGTCCGTCAAGGTTGTCCACTATACCCATTTTTGTTTAACTTCATTATAGACCTATTGCTGGAAATAACACTCTCGTCGACTGAATTTACAGGAATTGATCTGCTACCAAGGGGGTCCACTATTCGACTTAAAATACGCAGATGATATAGTCCTGCCAGGTGAAGACGCTGATAAAATGCTGAGTCTTCTGTTAGAACTGAGTAATAATACCAAGATGTTTGGGATGCGTTTCTACCCATCCAAATGTAAATTGTTACTCCAGGACTGGTCTGCGTCAACACCCGAACTAAGGATAGGGGGTGAAGTAGTCGAACGCGTCGACAACTTCACTTATCTTGGAAGTCTGATCAGCCCTAATCGGTTGGTGTCTGACAAAATCTCAGCACGGATTCAAAAAGCTCGTTTGGCTTTCGCAAACTTACGTCACCTATGGCGAAGACGAGATATCCGTCTATCAATTAAGGGACGAGTATACTGAACAGCAGTTCGCTCTGTTCTACTTTACGGATACGAAACGTGGCCATTAAGAGTAGAAGATACTCGTAAGTTACTAGTATTTAACCACAGATGCCTTAGAAATATTGCTCGCATCTGCTGGGATCACCGGGTAAGTAATAGTGAGGTTAGACACAAGGCATTAGGGAATGATGGTAAATCAGTTGATGAGGTCATGAATCTTCATCGACTGAGATGGTTGGGCCATGCGTCACGTATTCCTGAACACCAACTACCATGACGCGCAATGCTGACTAGTGTCGGCGATGGTTGGAAGAGAGTTAGGGACGGCCAAAACAAAACGTGACATCAGTGCTTAAAGTCACTAACTTCTGGTCTTAGCCATGTTAGTAGATGCAGACTACTTGGTTGGGGTCCACGTGACTATCGTAACCAATGGTTGGAGACTCTAGGTGACATGGCTCAGAATCGATCACAATGGCGTAGGTGTATACACTCTTTATCTTCCCTTAAACCTTGAGACTAAAATTGCTTCATATCTCTCTTCCTTCCTGTACTATATTCTTATATACAACCTTTCTTTTATATACTACCACCACTAAATTAACTACTTCTATGAATCCGGTGTTCATCTTGTTGTGCTAACGAGGTATGGCAACTTGGACCGATGCATATATGTGTCTGGTCCTACGTTGTAGCTGACTGACTGCAAGGTTTATATAGGTATATTATTAAGCTGTAGTTTGTAGATCACTTAAAAAATCTATATCAAGGAATTAAATTAGGGATTTTATTGTCATTTACAATGGATATATGTTGTGAAACTGAAGTTAAACGGTTTCAAACATGCACAATAATTTTTATCAATAAATTAGTCAACGTTTACACATATTAATTAGACAAGAATCCATCACTGAATAAGTATGGACCATTGCATTACGCTGAACACTAAAGAACAATGTTCAACAAACCAAATTTAACATAATTCAAGTAAATCTATGAGTAGCGAAGTTACATATAGATTATTTATATAAGCTGGAACTGATACCAATACTTTAACAGGCTATGATTTATATGGATATAATTTTCAGGAAGAATTCATATACAATAGATGGTGTAACAACAAGATAGAATACTTTCCAAATAATTTTACTTTTGATGACATAACAAAAGCAGGGGACCAAAAACATCAAATTACCGCAATGCGAAGCTGAAAATCTTCGGATGGTGTTATCGGTATTCTGTCAGCAAACTTCTTCTCTAAAGACTGTTGTACACTATCTGTCATTTAAAAAACAAGGTAAATAAATCTAACTCTTGATAAAAATGTGAAGTGAAAGAGTTAAACGTTAATTTATTTTTACTGATCACACTAGAATGAACAACAGTGAGCAAAAAATTCGATTAACATTTAAAGTATGACAACAGCTATCAGCTACAGCTTGAGGCACCTAGAATTCCAGTCCCAAATATGAAACTAGAATGCATACGATTCCAGGTTTCAAAAAAAGATTCAATTTAAAATCTAGTTAGCTATTCCAGACATTCAAATATTAAGCCTTTCACAATTCGAAACCTATTTTTTCCACGTCACTTTACCCCTCCTATTTTTCGATTGAATATTTCTCTTATCTTTCCTGATTTTCTGTGACATTGTAAAACGCAGTAACTTAAACTGATGCTTTCATTTATGACTACTGTTTTTATGTAGTTTTTGACGAGCTGGCAGGCACCAAATGGATATCAGAGACAGAACCAAAAGATTTAAACTGTTGCTGCCAAGTGGGTGGTTTTAGTTTTACCTTAGAAACATTAACAACCAATTATTAAAATCAGTATGTAAGATTACTTTTCATTCATAAACTAGATAAAACCTTAGTTGGTTCGGATATTATTATTTAGCGATAATTAAAACTCATCATCGTATTCTGTTTCCTTTTTGTCGGTTTGCTTAATCTGACTTGAGTTCACAGGGTATTGTGCTGGTCTACCATAGGTTGCTGCTGAATAATGGACTGCTGAATAATAAGCTGTTTTCTCAGAACGTTGAGCCTAACATTCTAGTAGCGCCCTGAAAGTAGATCATCGGTCCACAATTCGCAGCTAAACGACTGATCGATAAGGTTAGAGATCAGCACCAAGAGGAGAGACAAATATGACATCGGCCACTACTCAGTGGTTAATTAATTGAAGATATGTCATATTTCATATGGAATATAGACTTACAAAGACTTTATTTACGCTTTAACTCCCCCAATAGGAGGTAAAAAGATGTGACCAAATGAGTTTCAAATTGAAGATTTGATTCATAATGAACAAATGCATTTATAGACTCGCTTCAAATGAGGAATTTTAGAGGTCTACAAGACATTTACCCAAATTCCTTTACATAGAGCAACTTGGGAATATAAAGGATAAAAACCATCAACACGAAAATTGCACTCCCAGTGCAACCGTATACATACTCTTCAATAGACATGATATCATGGTTTACTAGGAATGACATTCTCTACACCCGAAAAATAAAAACTGGTCGGGAGCTTATATAGAATTTGCCATACATGTTATATCTAAACATAATTCGCGAGGAACTCTGCCGTGGATGAGCTATGAGTATGATATTAAGACCAAAAATAAATGAGTATGAAAATATATTAATACTGACTAGTGGGTTCCATAAATAATTTAAACATACTATCTACCATTTGTACAGTGAATTTGTAATTTCACATGTGTTATAGTAAGTTTCGCTGCTAACTAAAAACTGAAAATACTAAAGCAACTTGTCGGTTTTATTTTCGTGTCATGAATTCACGAAAAAGTCATTTATCAGAAGCACCGCGATTAAAGTAAAATACATACTGGACGGCAAACCAATCAGAATTAGGTACCAGAAGTATTAATTCATAGTGGATTACGACATAAAAAGACCATATTACTCCTTTTAATAGCTACTTAAAGTAAAATATACTTTTAAAATAATACTTGTGTTTTCGATTATCTATGAAGGTGAAATAACTTACTTAGTAACTGATAGTTGGAATCTCGTTCGTACTTAAAGGTTAATCGACCATAGCTCACGTGATTTAAATTTTTAAGCCATTCAAAATACGACACAGTAACACCACCAGCATTCAGATACAAATCTGGAATAACCAACTTATTCTTCTCTCGCAGTATCTGGAATGGAATTAAATACGAAATATCTACAGTTGAACTGAACTTAAATCTATGATTTGGCATTCCGCTAACCAAGAAATTCAAAAACTAACAAACAAAGTGTATAAAAGACTTAGTGAATACGGTGGGCTAGCTAACTGTGATTTGTAGGATGGCAAACATGTAATTTATGAACTTAAGAAAAAAACTCATGAAATATGAACGTAATGTTTAGTGAAGTAGTTGGCAAATAATTAATTTTGTACCTAGACAGAAGTTTGTTTATGAAACAATAAATAAGCTCTCAAAAAACTTACTTTATCGGCTTTTGGTGTAGTGGGACCATTTGCACCCTCCCCGATTAGTTTTGCTCTGATCTTATCTGCGTTGCCACTATGGATTTGTTTTTCATTTGCCGCAGGAATAAGAATATCACATTCCTCGAAAAGAAGAGAATCTTTTGTATATGGCTTTGCATGTGGAAAGCCAACAATCGTACCATTTGCCTATCGTTAAGGAATAAAACAGAAAAGTTTTGATACGACAAATAAAGCACGACGAAAAAATTAATGAAAACTAATACTGTACTTCACAGAAGCCAGGTTTGTTCGGAAGAGCAACAGAATAGCAAGTCGTTTACATATTTTTTTAGACGAGGTATCATGCCTTAAGAGCAGTGAGATTTTCAATGCTAAGCTTGGTCAAAGTGTGAACGGCAGATGGAATTTCATATCTTTCTTTAGAATGAAAAAGCTACTTTGTCGCTTTCACGATTCATAAATTTTCCTTATTACCCTGGAGCAACCTGAGTTACTGGTATAGAGAAAGATGTCTAGGATGTTTTAAGTAACATGTAAAGTATGGATCCATCAGAAAACTGACTCATAACGAAATTTAGAGAAGCAAAGTAAAATAAAATGACAGAATCTTAAACGATACCTACAAATCTTCAGTATAGACAACTGGCAAGACAGTAACTAGAGCTGAATCGACGTGATAAACAAATTAGACATATATATACCGATTATAGATGAAAAATTCAATTTATAAACCCATGAAAATATTCTACCTCTCAATTTATAGGAGACTTCATGTTGAGGAGAGAAAAAACGTGAGTCGTATGGGGATTTGAACGATTGCAGATCACTCTATGACGTCCATGTTTCTGGACTACTTATGACTAAATGAATATGCTGCGAGTACAATGAACGCATATATCGACGTTACGAAAACTCCGGCACTATTACAAATAGGATCCCTAAAACAATAGCTATTAAAGTATTTACTACACATGCAGAAATTATTTAACTGATGGGAAAAGTTTGTTGAGGAATATTACTTACATACGTCTGTTACTCCCAATGGAGCATACGCCGCAGACCCACCGGCTACCATGAGGACTGCATCTCCTCACGATGCTCCATTGCCTTGTGGTATAGACCTTTAGGTCAAAGGCTCTGGGTGTGACCCCCTAAGAAAACCACCTGCTACGGTTTGGGCACCTGGGCAGTATCACAGCCCTCACATAAATCAAATGAGATTTGTGTGGCGCATATGCATCTGGTGCCCCTTGTATCAATATTTATGTGTTAAAGTAAATAAATAAACAAAATTATCCAACCCACACTGTCCTGAGCCTTCCTTTCTAGTTCTATACAGTTTGTGTTCATTTTTCTCATGTTTGTCTTCATTTCTCCGCGTAATGTGTTCTTTGGTCTTCCTCTCCTCCTTTGACCTTCGGGATTCCATGTGGGGGCTTGTCTTGTGACGCAATCGGGTGATTTTCTCAAAGTGTGCCCAATCCACTTCCAGCGCTTCTTCCTCCTCTGGATGGAATCTGGTTTGTTCTCTCCCACAGTAACTTGTTGCTGATAGTGTGGGGCCAACGGATCCGAAGTATTTTGCGTAGACAACTGTTAATAAACACTTGTATCTTCTGAATGATGGTTTTCGCAGTCCTCTAGGTTTCCGCTCCATACAGTAGAACTGTCTTGACATTTACATTGAAAATTCTGATCTTGGTGTTGGTTGACAATTGTTTTGAGCTCCAGATGTTCCACAGTTGTAAATATGCTGCTCTTGCTTTGCCGATCCGATCAAACTTGCTGAGATCTCCTTTCTTTGGTATTTTGATCAGAAAACTTTTTTCCAGGTTGTTGGTACTTTTTCTTCATCCCAAATCTTACTGAAGTGAATGTGGAGTATCTTTGCAGTTGCTGCTAAATCTGTTTTCACTGCCTCTGCTGGAACGTTGTCTGGTCCCGCTGCTTTGCCACTCTTGGTTTGTCTGATGGCTATGCTGACCTCTTCAATTGTTAGCAGGCCGACATCAATCGGGAGGTCCGTGGGGGCTACTTCGATGTTGGGTGAATTCAGTGAAGCTGGTCGATTCAAGAGTAATTTGAAATGTTCTACCCACTTGTTTCGTTGTTCTTCAATGTTGGTGATTACCTTAACTTCCTTGCTTTTCATTGATCTTTCTGGCTTACGGTAATTTCCAGCAAGTTTCTTTGTTGTTTCATACAGTTGTCTCATGTTTTCTTCTCGTGCAACCTTTTGCGACGTCATTGCTAAATCTTCCACATATTTACGTCTGTTGGTTCTGGTGCTCCTCTTCACTTGCTTGTTTACTTCTGTGTTTTCGGCTTGTGCCTTTGCTTTTTCTGCTCTTGTTCAGCTGGTATTAATTGATGCCTTCTTATTCCTCCTTTCTCAAATCTTATCCAGTGTACCAACAATGATCCATTCCTTGCGGTGGTGATTTTTATTGCTTAGAACCTCCTAACATGTTGAAATGATTGCCTATTTTATCCCTTTCCAATTGCTCTCCATGGTTTTTCCGTCTCCAGTGAGTAGCTCATAAAACGCCTAGAGCCCGTTGTTGAAGGCTATCTTGAATTTGTTGACTTTGTCAGTATCCCGAAGAAAAACTGTATTAAACTTTTGTGATGTTGTCCGCCCCGTTGTCCGATGCTTCTTAAGTTTCAGTTTCATCTTGGCGACCAGCAAATGATGATCGGATGCTATATCAGCTCCGCTCCTGCTTTTCACATTCTCCATCGTCCTCCTGAACTTTTTGTTGATGCAGATATGGTCAATTTGGTTCTGTGTAGTATCATCCGGTGAAGTCTATGTGGTTTTGTGTATGTACTTGTGTGGGAATATAGTGCCGCATATGACCAGTTTATTGCAGGCACATAGCCTTGCAAATCTCTCATCATTTTCGTTCCTTTCTCCCACTCCATGTCGTCTCATGACGTCTTCATATCCGGTGTTGTCCATTCCAACCTTGGCGTTTAAATCTCCCATCAAAATGGTCAGGTCCTTGACGATTGACTGCAGCCTATAGCAGAATTGTAGTCGTTGGTAGGCGCATAACATCGCATGAAGTTCATGGCAATGCTCTGCTTCTTTGTTTTGAAGGAGGATTTGATGATCCTGGGTTCATGAGGTTCCCATCCTATAAGTGCATTTTGTGCTTGTTTGGATGGCATCAATGCAACTCCTTGTGTATGTGGAGCATTTTCTTCTTCATGGCTGGAGTATAACAGAAGCTCCTCTGAAGATCATCGTTGTCCAACCTGCATCCAACGTGTTTCTCTGAATTCAAGCACCTACATGTTTTGTCTTCTCATTTCTGCAGCCTCCCGGTCTCCCACATAGTCCTTAGACAAATGATCGCTCATGTTGTCAGAGGGGGCATCAGCTTCGTGACTCCCGAATGAACTCGGCATTCACCATGAGGCGTCATAACTCTTCCAAATGAAGACCTTCTAACTTCCAGAGCTGAATTTAATTGGTTTGAATACTTTTTTTCCTGGTTAGCGTCTTTTTAGCGAGTTAGTTTTCTACGGGATGGGGTCGCTAACCCCATGCCAAACCCTCCTCCTTTATCCGGGCTTGGGACCGGCAGTAGCCCCCGAAGAGTCTACAGGCGTTGTTATGGTGTATTAGGATACGTTATCTGAAGTAACGCAAAATATGAATAGGATTCCCATAGATGTCAACTCAGATTACAATTTTATTTCGTTCTGTTGAGTGGTGATTTAATAGTAAAGGCGTTCAACTTTCAACCACTAAGTCCCACATTTGGAAACCCACCTACCTGCTTCAGTTTGGGAAACCGGGTATTATCATTATTCCGAACATCTTAAGTATTGCTCTTACCCACGCGTCTGGTCAATGAATGAATTGACTATATTATTAGAGTTCAATAAGTTCTTACTGACATGAGCGGACTAGTCACGCGTCGAAACCTCAGACATAGCTAAGGTTATCTCATGAAGTGGAAATTTGAAATAAGGGTTATATCACAATCTCTCGACACAATCACCTATTTTCGAATTGGTATCTAGGTAATAGTATATTACATCTCTATTTTATTTATGTATCTATTTAAACACATAAAAACTGGTACTAAGAGGCACCATAATATATATGTGGCATACAATAAATATGAGATTGTGAAGAGATCGAGAAACGATGAGTATGATAAAGAAGAACAACAGTGAATAGAAATTAGAGTATGAGGGTGGAATAATAATAATAATAATAATAATAATAATAATAATTAATAATAATAATAATAATAATAATAATAATAATAACAATAATAATAATAATAATAGAAGCAGTTCAGTTAAAAAAGACACAACCACAAAGAATATTCAGTTAAGGAAGTTCCTCTAACGTATATGAAGAAAGTAAGAGTTACAGCATGATCGCTACTGGTTTCTTTTCTGAGCACTGTGTCGTATAGTCTCTAGGGCTCCGAATAGTGTCGCGAGGAAACAACAGATGCCAGTTCTGTACGGCTTTCTTTTATACACCAGTACTATGTCAAAAACCAACCACATCTTCGCATTCTTCAATCAGTCCTGGCGTCAGCAGACATACACGATGTGGAATTTGCTGAGACAACATTCGTAACACATGCTCAAGTCACCGAAGTCAGTGATTCGAGGTGGTCACACCAAGTGAGCTATCATCGCTGTGTCCGAATACACGTTGCTGAACCTTTGCTCTACTAACATGGTGTGCCAATGGATGTCAGCGACCCTTCGAAGATAATGACGATCAAACATAGAGAGTCGCTTAACATCATCAACTTTGAGATTAGGTTTCACAACTATACAACATAACTGCTTTCATCGACGTATTATAGATCCGACCCTTTACAGTTACACTAACATCATAAATGGCCCAGAGCGGTATAAACTGTTCTGGCCTTCCCTATACGTGAATTGATTTCATCACTCATGCCACTACCAGCACTTATGCAGCTACCCAGATACACGAACTTCTCGACTACTTCTATCTGTTCACTAGCCAGAGTGAGTGCACGATCAAGGTACTGTCAGTCTTGTAAAATTACTTTGCACTTCGAAGGTGCAAAGCACATACCATGCCTATGGACACTAATTGCCTACTGATTCAGTGAGGATTGCATGGCTTGGATATCATCGCACAGCAAGACCGTATCATCCACATAATCCAGATCGAAGTT